TACCTTGTTTAAAAGTCTGTTAGATTTTTTCTCAAAAAACAAGAAATGCTCCGCTCAACAAAATGCCAGGGGAAAAAAAAACCCCAAAAACTTCAAACATTTTAAAATAAAAATGGAAATTTTAAGCAAATCTTCCAATCAGTTTAATTAGAAAACAAAAATTTTTCCCCGGGTTTTCCCCTTTTTTTGCTTGACTTTTTCTCAGGGGTTTATTAATAGAACAAAGGGTTGAAAAAATGTAAAAATTTCAAAAAAAGGAAAAGATTTTCTTTTCAAAATAAAACCCAAAAGGTTTTATAGGTTTGAAATAAACCAAAATATATTATGTCAATTTAAATTTTAAAACCCCTTTTTCTGATCAGTAGTTTGAAAAAAATTTTTAAAAAAGCAAAAAATTTTTTCCCCGTTAAAATTTCCACAAAGGGGTCCAGTTTATCAAAATCCAAGCAAAATTTGTAGAAGCTTAGGGCATTTGACCTCAAAGACAAAATTTTCAAGCAAAAAGACTTTACTAATACTGAGATATGATTATACAGGAAGTTGCATTAAAACTTTAAAAAAAAAAGTGAAGCCAAAAATTTCATTTTGGGGTGAGTAGAACAAAAAAAGTTAATTTACCAGTCCCAGCTGACCTGGGACGGACGGATTTTTGGTTTTTTTTCTACATGAACCAATTGATCAGAAAAACTTCCCGGTTTCCCCATTTTCTGTTTTTTCTTTCTTTTTTTTCCCATTTGTTTTCTAGGGGGGGTATACAAAAATTTATAAATATATTTTAAAAATGGCAAATTATAATAATAAAAAAAAGCTACTGGTTTTAAAAAATTTTATCATGAAATCTGAGTTGCAAGATGAGATAAAAATTACAAGGCAAACATAGAATCAGGGACTTTACCCGTTTTATCTTAAAGCTGTTAATCCATATAAATAAAAACTAATATGATATGAGTTTGAAAAAAAAAAAAAGCCAGTTTTGAAATGTTTTAAACAAAAAATCGGGGTGCGCTTAAGGGTTTTGGTGGGTAAAAAAAAATTTTAAAAAACCTTTAACTTAATTTAATGACATCACAACCCCATGCCATCTGCGGGAAATCCCCTTTGGTAACATCATCATTCCCAAAATCAGCTGTCACTATTTTCTGGGGGCTGCATTATGCCCTTGCCCCACCCCCCTTTCCACCTCCATTTCCACCCCCAAATCCGCCCCCTTTCACCACCCTGACCTAAAACCCCCCTGAAAATCAATATCAGAGATTTCACCATTTTCATGTCTTTTTTTAAAATTTTTTGCTTTCTTTTATGATTCTTTTTGTTTTTGAAAATTCCCGGGGGAAGGGTTCCCTTTTCAAAATTTTTCTTTTTCAGGGGTAATTTTTTTCAATTTCATTTTTCAAATTTTTTGTTTTTTTATCATCTTTTTTTTCCCCTTTTGCTTTTTAAATTTTTTGGGGGCAAAAAATCCTTTTTTTGGAAGTTTCCTTTCCTAAAAACTTTAAAAAAAAAAAAAACTTTATACCATACCTTTTAAAAGTAAAAATAGGGCTTTTGATAAAATAAAAAAAAATTTTTAAATTTTTTTTTTGGCCCCAAAAGGGGAAAAATTATATTTTCTTTAAAAATTCACTTTAATTTCTTTAACATAATGTTATAATAAACATATCATAACCATGTATTGTAATACAAAATAAAACTGCCCAGCAAAAAATTATGGAAATTAAATTCCTAAAATTCATTCTGGCATTCCGAGAACTTTCTCTCTTCCTCCCTGTTGCTCTCTCACAGTTTTTTTTTTACCAATTTAGGAGACTTAGGATTTTTTTACATTTGGTTCTGTACCTGAACTTGTTTTAACATTCTGAAAACTATCCACATGTACCTATCTCTCTAATGCTAATAACTGAATTAACTTAAAGGTACTTAGTCCACAACCTGCTAAATTTCTTAAAGGGACTTGTCCAGCTTTCATATTATGATCATTTCATTATCAATTTCAGGGATATAAAAATGAAAATTTAAAATTTAAAGTCAGTCAACAGTATAGAGAATGGTCAGACTTCATGAAACTGCAAGCTGGCCTTATTCTATGATAATAGCAACGGCTTGTCACTTACAGTTCCTGTATGGCTAAACTCAATTAAGCCGAGCCATGACAAAGCCAACATGGTGTGTTTGGGACCAGCATGGATCCATGCCAGCCTGCACATCCACGTTGTCTGACTAGGATCCATGCTGTTCGCTATCAGTTTCTGTACTTGTTATAAGGTTGGTAAGGGAACAGCATGGATCCTGATCAGACTGTGCGGATGTGCAGGCTGGTCTGGATCCATGCTGGTCGCAAATGCACTATGTTGGTTTTGTCATGGCGCAGCTCAATTAATGATGATAAAAGAAGTTTCATTATATGCAAGACAAATTTGCATTTGATGATCAAGAAAATTGTTTATTTCATGAAAACTAAACGAAAATTCAAATATAAATATTATATCAAATTACATTATGACTGTGCTGAATTTTTCATGTATTTATGAAAAAAAGACATTGTATCATGAAACCTGCAATCATGAAACAAATATTATGACACACTTTATTGCCGTAGAAATAATTGTTTTTTGTTGTTTTTTTGTTTTTTAAATCAATGTTTTAAGATTCAACTTCAATACAGAACATGAAGCATAAATACCCCAGGGTTTATTCTAGATATGATTTGGTTTGGGATTGATATTTTTTCAGGTGAATATATAGGGAAACACATTGGCAAGATATAAAACCTTTTAAATATTACTGATGGATTTTGACTGCTGGTTATCATAATATTATAATTGTGCAGGCAGAGGGATAAGCTTTTATAAGCATATTATGCTGAAGCGAACTGCCCATGTGCAACCATATCTCAGGTAAGTCCTGAAACAAAATTCTTTCACAAATTGGGCATGTATAAGCATGAAAGGCAGCTGACTTGATGAAGGTTTAAATGTCTAAAAAAAAATCATGGGAAGCTAAAATGTACCACTGATACCTCTATTGGAATTGATATTTCTTTCTGCTATGATGTATCACGACTAGCAAAATCTCATTCAAACAGTCTAGACACATAAAATGTCAGTAACTTTTATATGTCCCAGACCTTTGTATTCAATACAAAAGTTTTTTGGGTTGTTTTAAATGTCAGTCTTGTGGAAGATTTTTTATAAATTTCTAACACAGGTATCTTAGTGTCAAGTTGTCAAGTGTACACAAAGGCATGATAGTCTTGAACTAAAAACTTTTTTTAAAGGAAAAGTGGAAAATTAAATTGTGATATTAAAATAATTTCACATTGTAAGTATATAACAGTAACCATTTTCAGTGATATTATAGATCTAGCATGCTACAGTCAACTCCAACTTGAATGGTAAACATTAACAGTGAACACAGTACTTACCTCATTTAACTGTTTAAATTATAAATGTTAAAAAAAATGAATTTTATTCAACTGATAAAGTTTGAATGTAAAAAGTAAAAAAGGAAAAACCTTAAAAAAAAAGGTTTAACCTCTCTCTTTAATTGTTTTAGATATGCTTGAAGACAGCTTTAAAACTACATGTGTGTGGAATTTATTCTGCAGATGCTATATGCAAAATGGAAAGAATTCACTCTTTTAGGAATCAATGAATGATATTTGTTAGTTAAGATATCAAATAAGCAGTTTCTAAGTTATTCTACATTTTTTTTTAGTGTGTCTATTCAACAAGTAATTTCCCAGAGGGGCAGTTTAAAGAAACTTAAACACATGATTATTAGCTATAAAAATCACCAAATGCTTTAGAATGCTATTAAATATGAATCTATGGTATTCTAGGCATTTGAGTGAAAAGATAATTAAATTAGATGTGTAACATATTTAATTTGTGTATGAACACAACATATTCACAAAACTGTGTTCTTTCAGAATGTCTGAATTTCAATAATCCACTGCTTTAATCAATTTATATCTGTTTAAAACATTTTTATTTGTTATAATTAGTTTTTTGGGTATTTCTATGCAGAGCAAATGATAATTTGTTAACATCCATATCTTAACAAAGCTGTACTCACCAGAGCCGTTTTGTCATCCCCGGATCCAAACTGATCATCCCACTTTTCTTTCATTTCATCTAGTTGTTCCTGAAAAATTATTCTTAGTTTAGATTCAAAGACAGAAGTTCATCCAAAAGAAAAAATGAAAGTGCATACATTTTCTATACCAGTTCTGAATAAAAGAAAACTTTACTATATGTTCAATGTTGCTTTTTTTACTTGACCTGACCCGACTTCAATTGACTGCTGGGAATGAATTTAAGTTTATTTCATTTAAAACTACTGTCAGCTAATCTAACAAGTGTGTCTGGTTTCCTTACCCTTTAACCTACTTAATTTCTTAAATGGACTGGTCCACCTTCCATTTTTGGAACTGTCGATAATCAATTTAGGGGGATATCAAGATGAAATTAATTGGCCAATACTGTAGAGCCTGGTGAACGGCCAGCCTAGCTCTATAGTGGTGGCAAAGCCGGCTATTATCAGTAATAATAATTGATAACAAAAGAAAATAATATGAGAGGAAGATACAACAACCCTGGAACCAGTTAAAATAGCTGTTATAGGTAATCTAAAAGTATCGCAATTATTGTTACCTTTATTTGTATTGTTACTTTCTTCAGATCAGCGTCATCACTTTCTGTCATATCATCATCGTAGTACTCCTTGAACGGTGCACAGGTATTTGATATATGATCGAGGAATTTATTACGTGTTTCGGGACTCATACCTTCCCAGAATGACAAAATCATGACAGCTTTCTGCATTACCGCATTGGCACGTGCATTATCATATACTCTGAAAGGAACATAATAATGTATTTTCTAGAATTATTTTGGCACTAAATTTTCATTTAAATTTTCGTTTACGTCAAATTGTATTGAAATTTTCACGATCTTTCGTTTATCTGAAATATCTAACTCATTAATGCCTACAGTATTTAGAGAAAAGAAGGAAAGACAATATTACAATGTCCATCATTTTAAGCCCATGGGGCTTATTGTAACCTGCATTCAAGTTTTTTTTCCTTCAAATTGTTACACAATGGGTTATTAATTACTATACCTTTTCATAAACGTAGGTTTATATAAACATACCTTTGGAATGTATCAGAAAACAAAGCAATAAGAAGGTTCAGGCAGAGAACCGCAGACAAGAACAGCCAGGTACCAACCAAAATGTCAGCCATGATAGGATCTATAGCCTTCATTTCCTGTAAAAAAAGGTCAGAGGTCAAACATCAGATATATGTATATTTGTTTTTAAAATGAAATTATTTACACTGATTAAGTTACGAGCACCAATGTATATAGTATCATAGTTATGTTTTGCTTTAATCTGTGCACTGAATCTCAAATTTTGTATTGACACTTCTCAGATAGAAATGTTCAACCTTTAAAAAACTTTTTTTTATTTGACATATATTAAGTTATAGTGGGCTTCAGGAAGTAATAATAATTAGCCTTTGCCACCAGCTAAGGGCAAGACGGGCCTGCACACCCATGAAGTCTGGCCTGAGGCTTTAAACGTTTGGTGTCTCTATTTTTGTATTATTATGCTAAAATCCCTTAAACTTTAAAAAGACTGTTTAAAATTTAAAAAAACCGGGGTCAAAACCCATTTTCCCCCCAAAAAGGAAATGGAAATTTTTAAAGGAAGGGGTTTTTAAAATTTCCCTTTTAACGGGAAAATAGTCATCCCCATGAAACCCTTGAAAAATTTTTTTTTGGACCCTGCGTCATGAAAAAAACCAAAACTTTAAAGGGGTTTTTGGGGGCCCCGGGGGAAATGGTTTCCAAAACCAAAGCCCTGCAAAAAAATCCCGAAAAGTCTGATCGGGAAATTTTCCCATGCTTTTTCGCTTTTCATTTTCTCTACTTTTTTAAAAAGAGTTTTTTTAAGGGCAAAAAACAAAGGGACCTTTATGGGGAACCTGCGGGGTTTTGGGGGGCAGGTGGTTTTGGGACCCCTTTGTGGTCGAAAAAACCCCAATTATTTTTAGTTTTTGTCGTGAGGGGCCCTTCATTTTTATCCGATTTGCCCCCTTTTAAATTTGTTTGAAAAAAAGTAAAAAATTGGGAAGGGAATAAATGACGGTCAAAAAAAACCATGTTTTTTAGGGTTTTAAATTTTTTGGGGGAAATGATTTTTTTTCCTTGGGAAAAAACTTTTTTCCTTTCATTTTGGAGAACTTTTGGCAATATAAATGAAAAATTTATTAAAAATTAAAAACGGGTTTTTTGGGTTTTTTTTAAAATTTTTTAAAAATTGGGGACAAAGGCTGGGGGGTTTAAAAATTTCAAAAAAAAGCCATTTGGTTTTTTAACATTTTTTTAAAATTTTAACCCCACTCAAAACAAAGAAAAAGGAAAAACCCCCATCTTACTTTTCTAGGCATATTCATTTTACTAGTGTCTTTTCCCTCCAAAAAGGGAAAAAATTTTTGGGCCTAAATTAAAAAATTGAGGGAAACCCCAATTTTAAAAAGAAAAAGTTTCTGTTTTTTTAAGTTTGGGGCCCGGGAAAAGTATTTTTTCTGGGTATTTTTTGGGCCACCAAAAAATCTTCCAAAATGCCCCACACTGAAATTTTCCAAAAAAAGATTTTTTTAAATCCCCCCCCAAATAAAATTTTTTGGTTTTTTTTTTTTTGGTTTTTTTTTTTTGGTTTACGTGTTTTATTTTTCCCACCAAAAAAATTTTAAAGGTTTTCTAGGGGGAAAAAATTTTCCAAAAATTTACTGGTTTTGGGGAAAAGACCTTGGGGTTAACCTTTTAGGGCATTTTTTTGGGCCCCGAAAGGAAAGAACCCCCCAAACTTTTTCCTTCCTTTAAAGCTACCCGGGACAGTTTTTCCCACTTAAAGGGAACTAAAATTTGGTCAGTTTTTTTCAGGGGGAAATAATGTTTGGGTTTTAATTAAACCTTTTTAAAAAATGAAAACCCTTTTTTAAAAAGTGGGTTTAACAGAAAAGGGTTAAACCTTTATTGGGAAAAATAAAATTCAAAAAATAAAAAAAACCAAAACCAAAATGTTAAAAAAAATTAGGAAAAAACTTGTGAAAAAGGGAAAGAAATTTTCCAAAAAAGGAAAATTTTTAAGGGACAAAAAAGTTTAAAAATTTTAAAAAAGAAAGGGGAAAAAAATTTAAACAAAAAATTTTTTTAAAAGGGAAAGGGAAAACATAAAATAATAGTTTAAGGGTTTTTTTTTGGGCCCCATGCAATATAAAAGGGGGCGGGTTTTTAAATTTAAAAAATTTTAAAAAAAACTTATAATGGGGGGAAACCGGGAAAAAATTTTCAAAAAATTTTGGGGGGGAAAAAGGGAAATCCCCAATTGGGTTATAAAAAAAAAGGGAAAAAACTTAAAAGGGGGAAAATTTAAATTTTCAAAATCCAAGGGGAAGGGGCAAACTTAAACAGATTAAATATCATGGCCCCCAAACCACCCACAAAAAAAAAAGGGGGCCCCTGAAAAAAAAAAAATTTAAAAAAAAATTTTCATTCCCTTTAAATTTCCCTTTAAATATCCAAAAGTAAAAAAATTAATTTTTTAAATTTAAATTTAATTTTTTTCCGGGGTTTTAAAAATTTTCCCGGGGGTTTTTTTTCCCTCCACCCCCGAAAATGGCGGGGCTTTTTTTCCCAAAAAAACAGATTTTTTCCGGGGTTTCCAATTTTGATTGGGGTTTTTTTCAGATAAAATTTTTTTCCGGGGTTTTTTGGGGCCTTTGTTATATTCATTTTTTTTTTTTTTTACCTGATATTTTTGTACCCTTTTCTATTTTAAAAAAAATTCCCCCCTTTTTTTCGGGGCCAAAAAAAAACGGGGGCTAAAAAAAACAATCTTTGGGAGTCCCAACCATTTCATTTTTAACCCCGGTATTCTTTTAAAAACTGCAAATTTTAAATATAGGGGTGGCGATTTACGCCATATGGATTTTTGCTTTTTTTTTCCCCCTTAAAATTTCCCCCAAAAATGGGGGAAAAAACACGAAAAAAACAAAAAATAAGGTAAATTGTTCTTTTAATTTTTCATAAAAAGGTCATTTGTTTGTGAAAATTAAAAAAATTCAAAAATTTTTTTCAAAAAATTAAGCACCAAAAAAATTTGCAAAGGGGTCCCTTCCAAAATTAAAAGGAGGGTCACGAAAAATTTTTTGTTGTAAAAAAAAATTCCATTTTACAGAAAAAGGGGGAAAGGAAAAATTTTCAAAAATTTTTTTCCCCTGATTTTAAAAAAAATTTGGGGGGAGTTTTTTCAGAGATTTAGAGAAATTTGGGGAATATTTCAGTTTTCATCATAAAGAAACAGATACAATTTATAAAAAAGGGTTTTTAAAAAATTGTAAAGATTGATTTCTTTATTCACTCTGATATTTTTTTAAATTTTGCTCACCCAAAAAGTATAAAAACCACGAATTTACGGGAAATTTTCTCAGACAAAAAAACCTTGGGTTTAAATTTTTTTCCAAAAAAAAATTTTAAAACCCCGGGTCAGCCCAAAAACCAAAAACAAAAAAGGGGGTTTGGGGGACCAGCATAAATTTCCAAAAACCCAACCCTTGCACTTTTTCACGCGGTTTTGGGATCAGGACCCCTCCCTTTGGGCTATAAAAGTTTTTTTCTATTTTGTTAAAAAGGTATTTTAAAGGCAAAATGGGCAGGGAAATCCTGTTCAGGAGGGCGGGGGGATGGGGGCAGGCTTTTTTGGGAAACCCCATGTTTGGCCCGAAAAAACGCTTTTAATTTTGGTTTTTTTTCAGGGCGGCTCATTTTTTTTTCAATTTAAAAACCAATCTTTTTTACTTTAACCAAAAGCTTTAAAAAGGGGTTTCAAATTTTTCATCGGGGCCTTAAAGCCAAAAAAAGATGAAAAACCCCCACGGGCTGGGGAAGGACAAATGGGGGGCTCCCCGCCACGGAAAATTTAAAGTTTTGTTTTAAAAATTTTTCTGAAAACTTTTGTGTCCCAAATAACTGAAACCCAAAAACATTTGTTTAAAAAAACCAGTAAAAAACCAAATTTTCCTTTAAAAAAAAAGGGTTTAGGGGGGGGAAAAATTTTTAGGGGAAAAACTTTTTAAATAGTTTTGTATTTGGAAAGGGGGAAAAAACTGTAAATTTTAAAAAATTTTGTTTTTTTTTTTAATTTTTTCTAGGGGAAATTTTTTCTCCATTTTTAAATTAAAAAAAATCATTTTTAACTTGTAAAAGGGTAAATTTAAAAAAATAAAAAAATGTTTAAAAAACCATTTTTTAAATTAAAATTTGGGTTTAAAAAAAATGCAAAAAAATTTTACAAAATTTTTTCTTTTTTTAAATTTTTTTGGTTTTACACTTCTTTTTTTTTTCCTTTGAAAAATTTTGCAAAAATTGGATTTTCTAAAAAATTTTTTAAAAAAAAGGAATTTTAAAAAAAAACTAAAAAAACCAAAAATTGTTTAAAGGGATGGTTGCAGGTATTTTTTCCCAATTCCTTTTAACAAACATTAAAATTTTCCAAAAAAATTCAATAAAAATCTTTTTTTTATAAATTGAGAAAATTTGGGGCAAAACAATTTTTTAAAAAACCTTACCCCCTATCAAAAAAGGGTTTTCTTGTTTTAAAACTATTTTTTAAAAAGTTTTTTTGGATTTTCCTTGTTTTAAAAAAATTGTTTTTTTTCCCCCGGCCTTTTTTTGGGAGGGGCCCAAATTTTTTTAAATTTCCTTTTAAATCTACTCCTTTGGGACCCCATTTTTTTCCAAATTTAAAAAAAATTTACAACAATTTTTTTACCTTAAAATTTATAAAAGTAAACTTTAATTTTTAAAAAATTCCCCTTTTAAAAATTTTTTGGGAATTATTAAAAACTTTTTCCAAAATATTTCAACTACATTGTATTACTTTGTTTTCACAAACATTTAACTAAAAGTCTTCCCTCCCTTTGTTATTGTTTCTTTTACCAGTATCTAACCTTCTTAAATGATTTATAATGCCCACTGTATAACTTTCACTATCACTATATAATATATCTAATTTCAACTTTTTCCCTTATAGATCTTCAACCTGATGCAAAACCATCCAATAAAACTTAAACTAATATAAACATTTCAATCTAAGACCTTTATCAAAAATTCAAAACAATCACTATAATAGCTTTTGTTTAAACATGAATTGTAAAGTAAAAAAAGAAAGTTTTTTATGATATTATATTATCAAACATTTCATGTGGACGTCACTTACTATGTCACTTTCTTTAGATCTCCAGTATTCTCTGATCTCATCTATGACCTGCCACATTGTAATCCCAACAGCAGCAGCCTGTGAAATACAACAAAGTTTTATAATAATATTCAACAATTTATCATACAATGTAAAATGTTTTCTTCTCATGATGTATTTTCTTTCTTCTAGACAGGAAAAGAACTTTTCCCCTCGTGGCTTGGGGGGTGCATTTAAGGGTTGGTTGAGGTTTTAGAATTGCAGCCACTGTTTATCTCTGCATGATCGAATGAGGCAATTAAATGGGTTGGAATTACTGGAGTCTATGCATCTCTAAGCTTCAATTGTTGAGGTAGTTTTGACTCCTTGTGTTGTTTTAAGTTAGCCAAAATCATGTTTTCTGTTTCCGCACCATAAGAACTAATTTATGTTGGTGTGCTATAAAATGTGTGCCATAAAATGTATTCTATACTGATATTAACTGCAATTTTAAATAAAATTGCATGGCACAAAGGCTAGAATGTACTATAATTTTTTGCATAGGAAAATATCAGTCAAGTATTACACTGTGTGCATTAGAATGGGAAAGTGTGTCATTATTTGTTATTGCATGTCTTTTAATGTTATTGCATGTATTGAACATATGCTTAACAACATAACTCTTGTTAGGTAAATTGCTTATTAATACATAATATAAGTTTTACATTGCGTTCATACCATTACTTTGCCATCTTAAACACTGTTTAAACTTCAAAAAGTTTCATTTATAAAAAGATATTTCACTAGATATGATCGGAACAAAACATATTTAAAATAATTAATTGTACAGAAGTTGTATAAATGTGTCAAAGTGTGAATTATTTAATGGAATATATAATTACCAATAGAACAATCCTCCACCAATGTTCCGGAAGTTTATATAGATGGCGCTCATCGTACTCTATCGTAACTCCGTAAACTGTCCATAACATGATGTACACAAAATTAAACAACAATGACCCGTATGCACGCCATCTGTAACAAAACAACAGTAAACTTTCGTCAGAGAATTTCTTGTAGGATTTAATAAGAACAACAATAAACATAACACTTTCTAGTCTATAACAGATTTGATTAAAATTTATTTACATGGTAAGTTTTCGGGTTTTTTTTAGGTGTTTTTGTTTACTATCATAATAGTAAAGTTCCATCATTACAGACGGAGGAATACTGAAGGTCCAGTCTCTCAGTGCATTTTGTTAGGCACAAATGGGTGCCTGAATATCACTGGGATTCAAACTAACAGCTGTTACAGGCAAGTGAATTGTTATCTTTAAAAAATCAAATCAAATTGATCAATAACTTAGCCCTTCAGATAAAATAATTTTTCTGAAAAGTAACAAAAAATCAACAGAATAACTCAATTAATTCACAGAAAGAATCACCTTGCAAATTTCTCCCACATGATCCTGGTCAGTGTAAGCATAACTGACTGTGTCAAAATGTCATACTGTTTATACTTGACAGCAACTTGTAACTATAATAATAGAAATAATAAATGTTAATCAAACACTCAGATAACCTATATGCATAATCTTGAATAATTCCTATGAAAATCAAGCACACTGAAATAAAAATATTTTCATTGGAAAAATAATAAAGAGCATCAAAATGCAAAATTAAATTCCAAAATATCTAAAATCAAGCACACATATTTTTTGGTAAAGTGCTTGGAATTTTTTTCTAAGAATTATAATTGTCATTAAGTAATCTTAACACCTGTTAAATCAAATTTTCATATAGAAAAGAATTTTCTATGCTGTGCTAGAATATTTATATAATATATTATATTTATAATCTTTTAGCTTCTTTCCCCTTTTGTACATTTTATATGAATTTTTATTATAAGTTTAATGTACAGAGATTGAGCACTTACTGGCATCTGTGTGTAGAATTTTGGATCTTTAACTGAAAAAAAAGTTAGAGAATGCAAGGCTATATCCTGTATCATATTCTGTTTTCTTTGACTTAAAATTTTCTGATAGAATTACATTTTTCAAAATTATCTTGTACAATAATTGTGAAAAATTACATAATGTGATTTTTGGTTGTGGTATATTTTACTTGAATTCGATTAATTTCTAAGTTTTTTTCTTTATTCTTTTTTTGATGGGGTAATATGTCGCACCAACACAATATAGGTCAAATAGCGACTTTCCAGCTTCACTGGTGGAGGAAGACCTCAGGTGTCCTTCCATGCATTATTTCAGACCCAAACAGGCACCTGAGTAGAACCACTTATGTTCTGCAGCTGGCAGGATAGCTAATCCTCACATGAAAGAATCCAATTTGAACCCACAGGGGTGAGGATGAGGAGGAGTAATTTCTGAGGATGAGGGACAGAAAAGTTTTTGTCAAAGGTATGAGATTAACATTTTTTTTTTTTTTAAAAAAGGAAAGAAAATAAGCTCAGTTTCAACCTTAAAATGGCTGAAAAAATAATATTAAAATGGTAATGTAATATCTTTTAATATTTTGTACAAAATAATGAAGCAAAAATCTGTCTCTGTCAAGCAAAAGTCTAAATGTAAGAATTTGATATTTAGATAAGCCACATAATAAACTATTGCTGAAAGTGAAATATATCTAAAGTATACCTCTATCATGTGTGAGTAGATTAAGGTAGAAGTATTGTTTTCTGTTAGGACGATCCTTCAAGTGGAACTGTTGAATGGCCTCAGCAGCCTGTAAACACATAAATATTACATAACTTAGTTAATTCCTTGAAAATCATACATACAGAGTCATGGTCTTTAATACAATGCAATATTACTTGAACAAAACACATATAGATAACAACTTTATTCTTTAATCAAAATAGCTTTCAGAACAAATTATGGTACGGCATTTTGACCAAGCCAACACTAAGAGGGAAAATGTCTGCAAAACATGATAAAAGGTTAATTCTAAATTTTAAGGAACAGTTTCTGAGAATATTATTGTGTTTTAATGAAAAACCATAGACAAGTTTGAAAACTGCTTTGAAAAATTGAATTCTACCTTCTAAACACGCATATTCTGCTATATACAATTCATGATAACAAAACTAAATGCTGTTACAATACTGTTTATGGCATGGTGTAAATAGATGACAAAAATGTGACTTACAACAGGAGGCATTTTAGTGATCATCCAGGTTATTACAGATTGCCCCTTCAAATCAGTGACACCAGCAGGTGCCTCTAAATCTAACAACAACCGTGCTGTCTCACTGCGATCTAGAAAAATAAAACATTATCATAAATGCATAACTGAAGCATCACATTTCTATACTTATTTAGCATAATTATGGTGAAAGCTTGAAGCTGATTTGATCAAATTTTAAGTCTGCTTCATGTATATTCACGAGAAACTGCGTAAGGGAACCAAGTGAGGCTTGAACCAACAACCCCTAGGTTGAAAGGTAGTCAATTTAACACCACCACTAAGGCACATTTCTCCTTCCATTTTAGCTCTTTACTATTTATATGTACCAATTACAAAGAAGCAATAAATGTTGGCTGTTTTCTCACAAAAAAAGAAGATTTTCACATTCAGTAATCTTAATTTTTTCTGTAGATTATTCCCTTATCTTTATTCATTTTCAAATAAGTATAAATACTGACTTTGCTTTAAGTACTTTAAATAAAAAATAATTGAATATAGGAAGTTACAGTTTTTGGCCAGATATGTCGGCTTTCTAACCGATATTTAGCAAAGAATGTGTTTTACAACAGACTTATTAGATTTATGAAGTTTGACGCTTATCTGGGATTCATTCCTGATATATTCAGACTTTTGCAAAAGTATAATCTGTCTCATGTACTCCAGATCTATCTAAATAAAGGGACATTTCCTTCAAAAATATGTGTGGAAGCGAATATTGTTACAACATGTAATTAACCCTGATGTTCAAAACAGATATCTAAGACTTGTAGAACAGGATGAATTTGCGTTATTGCGCGAAATTTTGAAACCGAACAGTCACTGCTTATTATGGCAAACTGCCAGAGGAAATTCAAATATGACAATGCTCTGTAAAAAATTGATAGCTATCACTGGAAAAATATACTCTGCAAATTATTTACAGACATGTTCAAAATGTTCATGTGTGTCAGATGATATTATTGTACATTTTATTATCTTTTGTAATGCAAATGAAAATTAAGGAGTGCCATGTTAAATTGTTTCAACACAGTGTTTGGGCTACGTCTATTCGCAAATCTGTATTATCTTGCCTTAAAATTAACGATGTATGTTTATATAAACTTAAATGTCATTGTCACAATCAGATAAAACGATCTTGCATTTATGATTTTGTTATATTAAGTTTTTTTTTCTGATATACGAGGGGTGATCCAAAAATTCGTGGACACCCTGCATAAAACAAAAAGAAATAAAGCAAATCACATGAAATTCTAGTATCTTATTAAGTGAGCATATGTCGGCAAATTTCTTAAAATATTGTAAAGATTGTACAAGAATTAACGATTCTGCACCAGTTTATATACATAGACATGACAAAACGCAGCGCAGCTCACGACGTCACAAATGACGTTATGCTATCATAGGAAGTAATCTACGTTACCGATTTGCCTTATAACTTTTCAAAGTATTCCCCTTTAACCCGCACACATTTTCATGGCGGCGGACCCAGTCTCTAAATGTACTTGCATACCGTTCCTGGCTGAATGATGACCGTATGCATTGGGTGGCTCCTCTCAACTCGTCTAGATTGTCAAAACGTCTCCCTATCAACTCTTTCTTTAACCTGGGAAACAAGGCGAAGTCACACGGGGAAAGATCCGGCGAATATGGTGGATGACTGAGTACTTCTGCTCCAAGCTGGATTTGAATGGTCAGCTGTGTGTCCCGGGTACGGTGAGCAGGTGCATTGTCTCGCCAGGCGTCTTCCTAAGATTTACACAGAACTGTATAACTGTCCGAAGTTTTGCTGGATCCGTGACGTTCATTTTTGGTAAAGCTGTTTTTAGCACCTGTTCTTTGAAGCATGAGTGTAAAATAACCGCAACTTCAAAATATCTTCTGATACTGACAGAATGACATCATACACATCAAAACATCGTTATTATAACGTTTCTCGCAATTTTCTTTGTTTGCATAGGTTTTACATGTGTTTAAATGAGATGAAAACGTTTACATCACAGAGAAAAAGTAAGCTGCGCCGCGATTTTGATACTTAATGTTTTGATGTTGTCATATATAGATAAAAATGCAATTGGTGTTTTAAAATTTGGTCAATTTATTAAAAAGGCATTGATTTATAATATCGAAAGAGTTCACCTCGGTAGGACGTCACGTTATGGAGATACACACATTGTCCACGAATTTTTGGATCACCCCTCGTACATTGTGTTTGTGGAAATATTTTCATATAAAGAAACGATCTTAGACATCCCATCCTTAATGTTTTCGTTTAGTACAATGTCATTAATATTTGACTAGTTTGTTGACATACTACTGTATTATGTTTGTTGAATTGTCATTATTTTGTATATATGTGTGATATTTATATGTATGCTTGTTCTGCTCTTCATTCAATGGAGGAATAAAAGATATGTATATATTAGCACTTTTAACCCTTTTCATATTAAATATCTTAAATGGTTTGTTTTTCAATCAGACAAAACTGATAAAATTCCTCATTTTTAGGGAAAAATTAAAAAATATTTATATGTACTGATTGAATAGCAAACAGCTAGTACAGACCATTATCAAGATGGTACCAATGTGTCCACTAATCTTAACTGGCACTGGTTGCCAGGTCAGTATCTGTTGTCTCAAGCAGACTAAGAATCCAGTACCTAACACCTTGGCTGTATTTTTATTTTTATCTTTTTTTATCCAATTAAAATTCATTTAAGAAAGTACATCCGGCCAATGAAATCCACTAATACATACCTAGTTCAGCTGCAACATGTAAGGGTGTTCTCCCCTTGTAGTCCCTCACCATCTTGTATTTACAATGACGTTTAATGAGGGTTTTAAGAGCATCTGTGGCGTCATTTCTAGCTGCGTAGTGTACAGGTGTTTGTCGTTCTCCAGCAGTAAGAGCTTCTTTGTCAGCTGCAACAATCAAGTTAAAATAAAAATAAAAATTGAAAAAAAAAAACAACAAAAAAACTAACAAAAAACAATATTTTAATTCTAGTTATTCTGTGAAAAAGTGGCTTGAAAATTTTTTTAATCTGGCTTCAGTAACAAAGAACTAGGGTAATATTTCTAAAAAGTTATTTTGTTTCTATAATACCACATAACAAGGTGAAACTGTCAACTGCCTGCAACCTAGCTTCCATTAAGAATAGATAATTCAGCATTGTTGATAAGAACTTTGAACTCACAGACAGTGTGAGGGGCAAACAATTCAGAGCCTTAAACATAACAACTCAGTCATTTAAGCTACTTGTTTTTGAAAAAAAAAATCAACTGTAAGTACCTCCTGCATCAATCAACACATTGATCATGTCTGGATAGTTATCAGCAGCTGCAACATGGAGAGGTGTTCTGCCGAAATTGTCCGCCTTGTTCACGTCTGCATCCATGTCTATCAAAAACTTGGCAACATCAGTATGCCATTTACTTGCAACCTTAAGAAAGGAAATTGAAAAAAAGCTAAATAAAATTCACTTTCAAATGGCCTGCAGAATAATATAAATGTTTGCTAGACATTAATGTGGACATGACTTATTCATTAAATTCATTCATGGTTTCAGAGCATGTTCGTATGTTTTGTTTTAATACCATATGCACAGTATTTACCAAATTGTACAATAACCGTTAACCATTGAACCTTCTACTGGCCAACATTTATTTCATGGCAATGCCATATATTAACTCAGTTAATGTTTTTTTGTACCAACCATCTTTACAATATAACCTTTGATCTTTTCTTAACTTTTCCCCATAAAAAATCATTAATGACTCACCTCATGAAGAAGGGTCTGTCCATGTCTGTCTGTACAATTTATATCAGCACCACTGGTTACTAACGTCTCAACAAAATCTAAATCCACGACCTCATCGTCTTTTTGTGATTTTCCTAATTTGGCGAAATATTGGAGTAACGCACGATTACTTGCGCTCGACATAGACTTTGAAGTGAGCTTATCCCCGAATAACTTTTGGTTCCCACTGACAAAGTCTTCATGTATATCATCGAGACCAAGGCCGCCGATGGTTCCCCGTTTGTCTGCAGCATTTTCAGCTTCACCCACAGCAGCACCTGCAAAATTACAAAAACACAAATCAATGCATTATTTTTTTTGTTCACTACCTTAATCATTTTTCCTCCAAGAAAAATCATATATTAAAAAAATATGAAGACACACTTGAATTTGTAATTAATGTATCTAAATAATATTACATGCATCTAGTTACTGTTAAAATTTGAAAAACAAAAAAATTAATATAAAATTTCTGAACTTCAAAATATCTTAAATCCAGGAGAATAAAGAACAGTATCATATATAGATAATTTTATCTCTTCTTAGAGATCACAAAGTCATATTGTAACAGATATCAAAACAAGTTGAAGATCAAAAAGCTTGAAAATGTTAAGAAAAATGTAAGTAAAAATCATTATGGTAATTTATGTCAAACAAATATTTTTTTTTCATAATCAGCATCAAATCATGACAATGTTAATCAGTTAGACAAAAAGTAATAGGTTATTTAAAAAAAAAATATCAAAGGCTATTTATTCTTATAATAATGAATTTTACTTGTTTTGATGTTAAAGGTTGTAAGTGAAAAAGGCTAAGTTGACCAGTAACTGCAAAACAAAGGTGACACATCAAAATAGAACATACATGTATTTAGATCATTTTGACAGTTTATGATTAATTTACTTAGCCTAAATGACACCAATATAGAGCCAGGCCAGTCTACACATCTGTTCAGTCTGACCAGGTTCTATATTTTGGTAGCTCAAGTTTTGTATTTAGATATTGAAATTCCTCAAACATTGAATTGACAGTTAAAAATTCAAAGCAGGGCAAACCCATACACAAATTCAGCAGGTTAAGTATGATAATTATTTCATCATTCAGCAGGTTAAGTATGATAATTATTTCATCATTCAGCAGGTTAAGTATGATAATTATTTCATCATTCAGCAGGTTAAGTATGATAATTGTTTCATCATTAATACTAAGTCCAAGTTGATAAAACAAGGAAATAATGCACATTTCAAACAGGCAGGTAAAAATAAAAACAATTCTATTATGAAAACAATTACAATTAGAAAACAATTTAGAATAAATATAGGCAGAGACATGGAGGGGGAAAAAATATAGCAGCCAATTTAAAACAAGTCTAGCTGCAGGTAAATACAGTAGCTCTTAGTCTAGATTCACAAAATATTCTTAAGACAAATTTCTAACCTAAGAGAAATCTTACGAAATATCTTGTTTTCAAAAAATATATTAAGAAAATCTTAAGTGCAAAAAGATAGATTTTCCCCTACATAATTGGTAAGTGTCCATTTTTTCTCTTCAGTCAGTAAACATATCAAATGTTAAAGAAAAACAAGTGCATGCACATCATTATCAAATGAACGTTGCTACGGATATTTCTTATTGCGAGGAAATTTTTTATCTTTAGATAAAATTTTAACTTACAAGTGAGTTTTTGGAATTAACAAAATTTGACTTACAATTATTGCTTTTCAAAAACTTAACATAAATCGTAAGATCTTTTCTAAAATTGACTGCTGACCTTTATATAACTGACATGCATCATAAGACCTCATAGACCTTTTTGTAATCTATTAAATCACCTTCTTATTTATTATGCATATTATGAACTCTGTCACAGAATACAATAATACAGGGGGGCAGGGGGGGGGGGGGGTGCTAAGGGAGTTAGAAGAGCAACTAAGACAGAAAAACAAGGCCTTTAACACAGACAACAAGGTTACGCACAACAAGGTAAGAATACTGCAAAGTTTCATTGCTCTTGACAAAGACACATAACACAATAAAGTGGATCAGTTAGTGAATAAGTTTAAAAAAAAAAAACATGACATCACAAAGTCATTCAGGTTAATGAAAATTTTGCTTTTGTTGTTGTTAGGTTTATGTTTTTGTTAACAGTATAGGATTCACTTTTAATATAATAAAAAAAAAAGTTTGTTTGAAAACTCAATTCTATATTAAAGACTATACCAGGTTTCTGCCTACTGTCATGCTCATCAAATCCACATGGATCTATTCAAGTTGAACAACAAAACAGAATGTGAACAGAACTTTTGCTTGTTCATATAGATATAATACAATAATGGTGCAATATTGTATAATTTTATAAGCTTTGCATATGATTTTAAATCAAAAATCATTTCATGTTGTTATGTAAATTATATAAATAATACCTACCACAATATGCATTATTTTATCACCATTCTATGACGAAATTTAATATCAGTGAGTTGTTTCAAATTCAATGGATACATTTCATAGCAGTGATGACAAAAAATGGTCAAATTTTAGTAAATCATGCAAAGGTCATTTATAAACGGGACACAACATATTTGTATACACAGAACATGTATTTTACTAAAATCATTAAAACAGGTATGAAAATGAATTATATACAAGAAATTAGAAGTAATTATCCATATATATATAATGGTGTATCATCCAATATCAATGTCTTGTCAATATGCTTAATGCACCGAATCAACGACAGCTCTAACTGCAATCTAACAGTCATTGCAGGGGCATAGAAAAAAATAAAGGGACTAACACAGAAATAAACTTAAATATCAAAACTAGGAATTACAATACTATTACAACTAAATATAAATTCCAGATATAGAAATTATACAACTACCAGTATTTCATAGCATGCTGTATAATTATGTTTTACAGTGAACTAAAATATATATGGGTTTAAACATTAAGGGCTAGATAATCCTTATAAAATGTATACAATTTTTTATATGTACCAAAACTGAATATTCAAAAGTAAATTTTTCTGTTTAATGATAGATCCACAATTTTAAAATAGATAAGAGCACATCTGGTACCTCAATTATTATTATATAATGTTCAACAACAGTACTGTATCAGAAAATTAATTCTTGGCTCAGTGGTAATAAGCATTTACAGTGTGTTTATATATACGCAAAAACGTTCAAGTTAGAATCCCACATAAAGTACTGGTAGAACTTTTAAATGCATTAGCATCTTTATGTTATATTTTGATTTTTAAAAAAGTTTGTAAATTAAAATTCTTTCACTAGTGTAAATTTGTAGGATTTCTTTTTGTGTTTTCCAAAAAAAATTCCTCCTTCAAAAATGACTGTTCATAAACCCAACCATTAATGTTCTCTTAAAATGCCTCTTTTAAAAATGATAACTCATAATCTAATCATTAATATTTTCTATCAGAAAACTGAAATTATACTGGTTCAATAAAAACGGCATCTTTTATGATGAAACAGGCCATCATTATATTATTATGTACAGTACCTTATATATAGGTGACATATGCTATTATATACTGTCATTGCATGTATATCAATTAAATCATTCTAGAATTTAGAGTCAGGTTCCATTAACCCCTTTCAAGCATAAAGAAAGCAGACCCTGAGTCATCAGGCATGTCATTGTTTTATACTTGATGGTTTTTCTAGATTTAATACTTAAAAGGTCTGAAACTAAAGTAAGAAGGGTCCCGATGAAACATATAATAAATAGAAACAAAAAATAAATAAATCAAGCAAATAAGTCTGGTACCACTAGCAATGAAACTTTTATAAATTATTCTTCTCCCAAAAACATTATTTTTTTATCTAAAATCACTTATACTACTTACACTTACTTCCGAAAACATAACTCATATGTTATACAAAACGTTAATTGTCAATATTAAAACCTGTGTTATATTTTGGATTATCTGCCCTTTTAATACCAAAAATAAACTAAAGGATTGATTACAATATTCTACAACAATAGTGGCAGCGTCTTAACATACATACCGCTCACAAGCCGCACTGTTGTCGCAAAAACAGAAAGAATTAGTAGACATATTAAGAACTAACTTAACATATAAACCGTGGGTTACATGTACAATATGAATTCTGATCAGTAAATATCTGAGCCGCGCCATGACAAAACCAACGTAATGCGTTTGCGACCAGCATGGATCCAGATCAGCCTGCGCATCCTCACAGTCTGATCAGGATCCTTGCTGTTTGCTTACCAACTCTATTACAAGAAGAGAAACTGAAAGCAAACAGCATGGATCCTGATCAGACTGCGCGGATGTGCAGGCTGGTCTGGATCCATGCTGGTGGTAAACACACTATGTTGGTTTTGTCGTGACGTTGCTCATTTCTTCTCTAGGGTGTTTAATGAAATCAGTTTTGTATTAAAGGTTAAACTGTAGTATAGTTATGTTATACAAAATTTTTTAAAAAGTATTACTGAGTCTTCTTAGAAGCACTATGTTAGTCATGTAAATATGATACTAAAATAGCCTTGTTCCATCTTCTGTACAGACAGACTTAGAATAATCAGACCTATTGTCAAGATAATTATTATCAAGACAAATAGAGATATGTACACCTGCTTCCACAGTACTAAGGTATGATTATTTGTGTTACTTAGAGCAAATGTAAATTATTTAGAACATTATCATTTTTTTATAACATGTGTTTTATAAGAAAACTTATAACAACAAGAGCTGTCCGTAAGACAGCGCGCTCGACTTTTTTATTGCTTGCCAATAAAAAAAGTTTTTGCAGTAAAAGGCAATACAAGAATCTCTGTATTTTTAAAGTGAACTAGTTGTTTGATACCCTTGAATATTACAGCAATGTTTATATGACATAATTTATGGTAAAGTGAACAAGTGGATAGGAATGAATTTTTTTAGATTTTTTAAGTTTTTTAGTGCTTGCCTATAATACAAAACATTGACAGTTAAGGGCCATAATTCAAATAAAATCTTTGACAGAATTACCTTCTCCTGGACATGTTTGGGAATCATGATTGTAAACAAGTATTCCAACTTTCAAATTAATATCTCAAACAGTTCAGTCAAAAAGTGGACTGGTACTAAAAACTTAACCAAGATTCTAAGTCGATAAAAGGCCTTAATTTTTAAAACAAATCCTTGACAGAGTTACCTTCTCTTGCGTACAGATGGGGGTAATGATGTGAAATAGCATTAAAAGTTTCAAAGCAATATCTCAAAGGTTAAGGCAATAAGTGGATTTTACCCATATTCAATGTATTTTCTAAGTCAAAAAGGGGCATAATTCTGTCAAAAACCTTGACAGAGTTATGTCCTCTTGTCTGTTGATGAAGGTCGTGATGGTAAACAAGTATGGTCAGTTTCAAAGCAATACCTCCAATGGTTTTGAAATAAAGTGAGGTGGTACAAAAAACTTAACCAAGCTCAATACACTTTCTAAGTCAAAAAAGGCCATAATTCTGTCAAAAACCTTGACAGAGTTATGTACTCTTGTCTGTAGATGGAGGTTATGATGGTGAACAAGTATGGTAAGTTTCAAAGCCATACTTGTAATACTTCTGAAATAAAGTGGGGTGGTACGAAAAACTTAACCAAGGTGTGACGCCAACGCCGACGCCGACGCCGGGGCGAGTAGGATAGCTCCCCTTTTCATAGAAAAGTCGAGCTAAAAACCACTTGAGAAAAAATATTATCATTCTATTTCAAAATCTTGCTTATCTTTTTAACTGAAATATTCCCAATTTTCTTTGATATTTTTTTCCCAAGCTAGACAAAAAAAGGCCTTAAGATTATTAAACAGACTGCTATTGAGTTATTCTTTACTATATTTTAACAAAATGAAAAACAATAATTTTAATAGATCATGCTTGATACATAATTTCTATACTGTATACACGTATATTGTATAATTGAAAAAATGAATTTTAAATGGGATGACATGCTATGCTACTGTGATCTAACTGCAAAAATATCCATTAAGCAAAATGAATTGTGCACTGTAATTTTTCCCATTGTCCTGTGAACAGTAAAGAAACAGTAATTGAAATAGACTTTTGATTCTATGGTAAAACAGTCTATGATGATAATTCCGAATATTTGATAATAAGAAAATTTTCACTGAGAAACACTAAATATTAATTATTTCCTTTCACAGACAAACATTAGTATGTTGCTTTAGGTTACAATACCACTTAGAATTGAAGATTTACTTTTTACAATGCTACTTTGAATTGAAGATTTACTTTTTTAAGTAAAAAATATGTCCTAAAAAAGAACAAGTAATACTATGTGGTGTATAGAGCAATATTTATGATCTATCATGCAAATACAGTGTTATTTGTTATTAGCATGCAAGTTGTATCATAACATCTAATTGGAAAATAACAGATCTGTAAATAGAATTATATAGCCTTATGTCATGTTGAGGTAAACTTAATGCAGACTTTAATTGACTTAGCAATTTTAAGTCAGTAATTTCTTGACCTGGCCTTTCCACATCACTATGCAGTAAATAAAAAAGAAATGTTTTGTAGTTACGAGGGTTGTTCAAAAAGTAATAGGACTGGGAGTCTTGCGTATTCAAATTTCATTCAATTTAGAATATTTTCATATGTACAGCAATTGTAAAATGTTTTCTACAAATCAAACATACGTTTTTTAATCTATTGTGCTAAACGCGCTTTTCCTTTTCTATTGAATAACCATGGTAACACGCACCCGGCGCAGCACATAAATATAGTTATTGGAGCTAAGTTCTACTTCTAATTTATTCATAAAAAACTATTTGTTTTCCCCTGTATTCCATCAATACGTTGACATATATTATTGTGACATTATGTCCAAATTTGACGTCATTCGGACATGAAATGGCCTATTTATTAAGTTTTGAACAGCAGCGGTCATAGCGTTAAATGTAGAAATATGACATTTGTTAACAAACAGAAAATGTGTGCCATCGTTAAATTTTGCCAACAGATTGACTATAATCATTCAGATACACACAAAATGATAAAATAAACTAAGGAAAATTATCCTGCCATCAGGACACTTGTTTTCAGCTGGCACAAGCAATTCAAAAACTGCAAATACAAGATCACTAACGAGAAAGGGCGAGGATGAAAGTTGAAAATTGACGGGACGTTAGTGACGTCAATTGCAAAAGCGCTACAAAAGAATCCCCGGTAAACGGTACTGTTTATCGTTGTTTATCGTTTTTACGAACTGTTTATCGTTGTTTGTATCTGCTTCGTGTCTACTTATTCAGTTTTAAACAAAGGATTGTAAATAAGAAATTTGTTATAAACACTATTTTATTGTATTTAACTAGATATACGTGTAATCAATAAATTAATGTAATAGTTAAATAATTAGTAGTGTTTCCCAAAAACTTGTTTTAATAAACGACTGTGCTAAGTAGAAAAGGATACTTTTCAATTGAGAAATATTTTTATTGTTGTGTATATATTAATCATATTGTTTTAAAAACATACAATGGCATGAGTAAATTAATAAAATAAATTGCTTTTGCTTTCACATTTTCAGTCCTATTGAGTTCCAAGGTTACTAAAAAAACTAGAGAAAACCCGGAGAATGGCCGGCTATCGGGCATTTATTTTATTTATTTATTTTTTTTTTTGAAACAGTGGAACGATAATGTGATTGCTTTTTTCTTGCTTCATCTCCACATATGAGGCAAAGTAAAAATTACATGACTCATACACCTAGAAACTAGGGAGACTACTTTCTGAAAGAATGACGCTTATTACAATTTCGATTTATTTTACGACGTCATGAACGTCAATTATTGTATTGTTAGCGTGCGCCGCGTTTCGTACCCCTTGTCATTTGAAAATTTCACAGAAATTTCATTTGTTTACATTTTGTTTTGATTTTTTCACTGTATATAGAGAACATGTTCCGATATTTGTCTCATGTAAAATTTTGTACGTAAATTTAAAAATGTGAACAGTAGAGCTGCAGTCCTATTACTTTTTGAACAACCCTCGTATTACTTTGATTTTGCTCAATTAACATTAGCTTTAGGTATGTTAATGATAATTTTAATAAACATTATATTTAGGTAGGTCTAAGATTATTATGCTAAATTAGCATTATATTTAGGTGTGTTAATACTAATTCTGCTGAATTAAGGCTATATTTAGATATGTGCATGATAATTATGCTGAATTAGCATTTTATTTGTCTATGATAATTATGATGAATTAGCATTAAACATGTCTCTGATAATTATGCTAACTAAACATTGTATTTAGATAATGTCTATGATAATTATGCTAAATTAGCATTATATTTAGGTATGTTAATACTAATCATACTGAATAAGTATTATATACAGGCAATCTTTAATAATTAATAAAATGCTGAAATAGCATTTATTTATAAATATTCAGTCCTTTTTTTTCATGGAAAGATGAACTGAAAATCCTTATCATACAGACTGTGTCATAATCAATCAAGCTATGACAGTGTTGCAAAATCTTCATATTTGGGTAAAAAAGGATGATTCAACATTTACAATGATAACAGAGTTTCTGAAAAAAATATCTACTATTGCATGGGAGATTAAAAGAAAAATTAAACCAAAATATTGGACAGTTCAATTTAAACCTATACAATCTAATAATAAAAGCTGACTAACATTTCATATACAAAAATTATGTTATTAACTTATCAAACATGCAAAGCATTATTTTATATATTTTTTTATAAATTTGCTCTCTACTTGTTCTATTTTTAAGCAGTTGTTTCTATGGTTACGAAACACTTACAACATAGATTTTCCAAATCAAATTCTCGTCCTATGTGAAGTGTACATGCATAAGGTGAGGAATATGAACAAAACAAAATTCTTTAATAACATAAAATAAAATGAGCCTTACCATGACAAAATCAACATAGTGTGTTTGCTACCAGCATGGATCCAGACCAGCCTGCGCATCTGCACAGTCTGATCAGGATCCATGCTGTTCGCTATCAGTTTCTCTACTTGTAATTGCTGGGTTTGTAAGCGAACAGCATGGATCCTGATCAGACTGTGTGGATGTTCAGGCTGGTCTGGATCCATGCTGGTTGCAAACGCACTATGTTGGTTTTGTCATGGAGCGGCTCAAATTTATAAAAATATGCTAAAAAATGCCATAGGTGCTTTAAGATAGAACCATTTACCTCCTATGTTCACTTCTATATAGTAAAGAATAGCATCATTAAAGATAAGGGAAATAGAGAGACATAACAATGAGGATGCCACTCAATGTGTCAACAATTTACCTTTCGCTATCACTCTTACACAACTTTTAATTGCATCTATATAAAGTTAAACAAATCATGTACACCTTAATAACTATTCTCATTATTTTTTAAACCCATTACTTCATAGATGATTTAAGATCGTTATACATTGTAAGTACCATAAAATTCATAAGTTGATAAGGTTAAAAGCACACCAATATTTAAGATAAGTCTGACTGTAAAACTGAATCATTTTAATGAAGCCGGAAGATTCAAGTCCTTAAGATTTTTGCTAAAACACCCTAATTATCTTAAATGAACATGTTCATCCTTCACTCTGGACAATTCACCATTTTAAGGGAAAATTAAAAAAAAAATTGTGCTTACAAAATAGCTTACAGTGCAGGATATGAACAAATGGCACAAATGTACTAACTGATTGTAGTCTGCACTCATCAATTTTTTCCTTCTTTGTTTGGATCTGGTAATTGGGCCATTCCCTATCTAAAATACCCACATTTTGTCCCAATTCCAATCCAAAAAAATTTCAAAATATAAGCTTGAGATATCATATTCCCTAAGTAATGAATCTCCGAAAAAATACTTGATTAAAATTTAGTATGCATTAATTGATACAAAAAAAAGATTTAATTCAGAGCCATATAAAAATATTTAAGTATATTGTATATTTAATAGACCTTATTACAATGAAAAAGCATGCCTATGAAGTAATGGGCTTTCAGCTAAATTAGTCGAAATCTCTGTTAACTTCTGATAGATTGTCTCCCCTACATAATTTATATGAAGATGTATCTAGTTTAAACACCATCCTACATTAATTCACTTATATCTTTTCAATCATTTTTCCCCATAACATTATAATGCTCATCCGTTATCATAGTAACCAAAATGCCAATATATTTACCTTTAAACTTTAGATACAAATAAATAGGACATTAATTAAGTGGAATCTAAATATGTTAATTAACAAAATGGTAGTAGTTTTAAAACCATTAATAAAGACATTATAGTAACAAGTCCCTATTGTCAGATAGATAAAGATGAAAATATTATTTGCACTTACTGTTCTTTTTCCTTTTTCTTTTTCTATTAACAAAATCCCTCCATTTTGAGGCAGTTATCCTTACATCAATAAGGTTTTGTAAAGCTTTGGACCTTGTATTATTGTTTTTAGATTGTACATCTCTAATGTTGTTTAAAAATGGACTGAAATTACAAATAATGTTGTTTTTAGAAATACCATTTGAATTATAAACACTAATTCAGTTAAATATTTGAAATCTTTATAAGATTCCCTAGTTGCTTTTGAAACTTGTTGCTTTTGAAACTTAGCGTGACATTTAATTGTTGACCGTTTTTCTACTAAACTCTCTGTGCAATAGCACCTTTAATGAGAAGTGTAAGACACAAGTAATGTCCAAAGCCAGTCTGGATTACCATCAAGCCTGATCAGACTCAATTTACTTCTCACTCATTGATTTTATTATCATGATAGCAAATCGCATATACTTATGTACTATTAACGGACAGTTTAGGTGTATAATTTATAAAACTCAAAAGTATTATAAAAGACGGTCACAGGTGTGTACTACGTACACCAACAAACAGCAATGGGAAATACAGATGATTATTAATTTTTATGTTAAATTGTTTTATTTGCATGACTTTTGTAATTGTATCCAGCTGTCATTTGTGTCAACAGGAAATTGATAAAATAATAATACATGAAATCTGAATATAAGCTTTCATACATGTCCTACTTTTCAATAAAGTATCCATTATTTTAACAGAATTCCTAAGATATATTAAACAAAAGCTTGATAAAATTCTTATTTATACAATGATACATGTATGTTTTCATCTGCACTACTTAGTTTTTAAAAAGTTACAACAGAACACTTAATTCAAAAGTAAATTTACGTTATGAAAATTAATTTCTTGTGCACCTAATCATCAAACAAAAGTATCTCATATTCATAAAAAATACACACCTCACTTTGTTTCTAACAGAATTAGATGCAGGTTCTAGTTCAAAACTATCATTGACAAGGCCAACCTTGTTTCTCTTCCCCTTCTTTTTCCCATCCTTACTTTCTCGGTCCATGTTGGTGCCCTAAAAAAATGTTTAAAGAATTCAATTTTTTAATCATTGCTAAAAACTTTTAGGAGCAAGTTTAATTAACAAAGGAACAGTTTGATTGATATATTGACAAGCTAGACCAAATAGAAATATGACTGTTTTACACAGAATTTCTTTTTTTCACTTACAGGTAAAAACAGTTCACTTATTATGGAAAATTTCAATGCAGTCAATTAATTTTCCACTCAAACCACTGTCTAATGAAATTAAAAATAGCTGTAAAAAATTGATAATTAAATAGCTGATTAAAAATTCAACAGTGACAAAAGCAATTCATTTAAGCCAGTCCCTCAAGAATTATTAAACATCCTTTATGTACAAAGACTTTGTATTATAAGGACATACAGTTCTGACCATTGTTAGAATCAAACTCAGGACACCTTAATTAAGAGGTAGGCACCTTAACTTTAAGGTTTCAGTATCAGTGATTCTCTCACACTGTCATCAAATTATCATCAAGTTAACTCAGGTGTAGCAGATTGTTTCCCTTAATTTTTTTTTGAATATTTTCTTTGGTCATGTGAAAACCTGAGAGACAAATGAAAATACTCCATACAAAAATAAAGTGATCTGCTGCCACAGTAACTTTCATTATTTGACATATGAGAAAAAGGTTCCTTAAAGTTTCATATGATGATTTGACTGAACAGTTATTCAAATAATTTTTTAATTTTATCGTATTTAAATGCTGAATACAAAATAGTCACGAGTGCTAAAAATGAGCAGTAATTAGCAAACCATTACTAAATATCTATTTATCATTTTTTTTTAATTTGCAAAGTGACCAATCAACAGATCCCTCTCCCCCATCCCCACAAAAAAAACAACAAGAACAAAACAGAAGTTATATGGAGTCATTGGTTCTCACTATGTCTTATTGCCCAAATCATGCATAGATTAAAAACCTGTAAAGATTTATCTATACATGTAAATGTTGACAAAACAGTGGTATTCTAATACTGTCTAATACTTCAATATACAATTATCAAATACTTCAATATACAATTATCAAAAACAAGGTGCCCGAATTATATGACACATTTAAAATGGTGTTTATGACAAAAAATACAGTGGAAGTAATTGCAATTATATATGAGAAAAAAAAGTGTAAAATCAATCAACCTTTACTTTAAACAGAGTACAGGCAGCGAAATAAAATTGTGTTCAGACTAATTGAGACTGGCATCCGCCATTGTTATTTACCTTATTGCCACTGACGACACAAATCACTGTTTTCCTGCTTAAATATAAAGCGGACTATACGAGCCGGTAACCTGTCCGTGAAATACGAACTGAGGGCATTACACGAAATGTTAAGTCAATTAACTATGTTAATAATTCTATTCTTCAGTCAAATAGTCTAAATGAGGGCTGTAGTTAATTATTCTGTGTTATAAAGTTTAAGTTCTCTTTTTTAAGTTTAAGCTTTATCCAGTTTAAGTGGGCGTGGATGGTGGCTTACCACTTAATTACCACATTTACCATTGTTCATGTACAGGGCTAAATCAAACAAAAATTGCAACATTTTCAATGCGTAATCTGAATCTGCATTGTTTCCATTTTATCCATGTTTCTGTATTTTGACAAAAGAAAGCCCTTGAGTTTTATTTCTCAACCAAACATATTAAAATAGCCTAAAATGAAATATAAAAGCCATTTTTATCTTGGCATTTAACTTCAGAATTTCTTATAATAAAGCTGGTACTTAAAAGATCTTAAGCCCCATATTGAAGCATTTGAACATGTGGCAGTAAATATCTTAGTGAGTAATATATAGCAACATATTTTGTGTTACAGTGTCAGAGAATCATATCAGAGATAGAAACATGAAAAAAACATGCGTTAATTGTATTTTAAATCTTATTTTCAAACCATACGTAAACTTCAACACCATACATCTACTCATTAGCTAGTATTGTTAGAGATTAAAAGTATTAAATGCAGAGAGCTACATGTGTATGTTAAAAGCTTAAGTGAAATTTATATTTTTAATGGGTTTTGTATTAATTTCTTCTAATTAATACATGTATGCAACCAATAAGAAGTAATTTAGATGTAAACTAAACCAAATTTCCAATTGACCACCCCAGAAATGGGAAAAGCGTCAGCTATATCAATCTACATTTTTACATATATTGTTACACTTTGTTCAGACTGAGAGTGTATACTCTTTATCGCACCAACATATCGAAACCATTATTCTTATTAAAATCAAACACACATGACCAAAGTATATAGAAAAAAAATCACCAAAGATTCTTATGACCACAACCAACATAAAACATGTGTTTTTGATAGAACCAGCTGGATTATAGTCAGACCTCTAGCGTCACTGATATGTTTCACTCCCTTAAGCTTCGAAAACGGCAACTCAGGCCCCGTGTTCACAAATATTTATGGATCAGGATCAAAATCAGGCTCAAATTGAAAAACTCAAATATTCCCCAATGGTTTATCATCATAGATTAATTTTTAATATAAGCTTGATAAAACTGTAATTGAAAGAGCATGTTTGTGAAATTGTTATTTTGCAGAATACGGGCAATTTACAGTTGATCCAAATATTGATCTTATACTAAAATTGATCCTTATTTTGATCCGAATATGTTTGTATTTGTTTTGTTATTTGTTGATTTTATCCCAAATTCAGCAATTTTTACATACTTAATTTTAGCAAAACACGATTAATTTTAGTAACATAAAACAATGAAAATAAAATCAGGATCCTGATCTTTTCTTAGTGAACCCTGGGCCAGGCATATAAATGCTAGCTAGGTTATTCCTTTTCTATTTTATAAGATTCACCATGATCTGGTTGCCAAAGAAGAATTTGTAACACTTTTCACCCAAACATCACGCCATGGCCATACCCTGTGTTATAGGCTATTCACAGCAACTAAAGACTATTCTATTTCTATTCTCCTTCTTTCCTAGAATGGTATACCACTGTAACCACCTACCCCCTACATTTACCCTAGCTATTATCTTCCCTAAAACAGTTTAGTGCAGACATACCTTGCATTGAACATGTTTTCCAGTCCCCTAGCTGTTTTTAAACAACTCTTTTCAAGAAAGAAAGAGAGTGAGTGAGTGAGTGAGTGAGTGAGTGAGTTGGTGAGTGAGTGAGTGAGTTGGTGAGTGAGTGAGTGAGTGAGTGAGTGAGTGAGTGAGTGAGTGAGTGAGTGAGTGAGTGAGTGAGTGAGTGAGTGAGTGAGTGAGTGAGTGAGTGAGTGAGTGAGTGAGTGAGTGAGTGAGTGAGTGAGTGAGTGAGTGAGTGAGTGAGTGAGTGAGTGAGTGAGTGAGTGAGTGAGTGAGTGAGTGAGTGAGTGAGTGAGTGAGTGAGTGAGTGAGTGAGTGAGTGAGTGAGTGAGTGAGTGAGTGAGTGAGTGAGTGAGTGAGTGAGTGAGTGAGTGAGTGAGTGAGTGAGTGATGAGTGAGTGAGTGAGTGAGTGAGTGAGTGAGTGAGTGAGTGAGTGAGTGAGTGAGTGAGTGAGTGAGTGAGTGAGTGAGTGAGTGAGTGAGTGAGTGAGTGAGTGAGTGAGTGAGTGAGTGAGTGAGTGAGTGAGTGAGTGAGTGAGTGAGTGAGTGAGTGAGTGAGTGAGTGAGTGAGTGAGTGAGTGAGTGAGTGAGTGAGTGAGTGAGTGAGTGAGTGAGTGAGTGAGTGAGTGAGTGAGTGAGTGAGTGAGTGAGTGAGTGAGTGAGTGAGTGAGTGAGTGAGTGAGTGAGTGAGTGAGTGAGTGAGTGAGTGAGTGAGTGAGTGAGTGAGTGAGTGAGTGAGTGAGTGAGTGAGTGAGTGAGTGAGTGAGTGAGTGAGTGAGTGAGTGAGTGAGTGAGTGAGTGAGTGAGTGAGTGAGTGAGTGAGTGAGTGAGTGAGTGAGTGAGTGAGTGAGTGAGTGAGTGAGTGAGTGAGTGAGTGAGTGAGTGAGTGAGAGTGAGAGTGAGTGAGTGAGTGAGTGAGTGAGTGAGTGAGTGAGTGAGTGAGTGAGTGAGTGAGTGAGTGAGTGAGTGAGTGAGTGAGTGAGTGAGTGAGTGAGTGAGTGATAATCATCTAACTTTTAGAGTTGCCCTTGAATGTGAGATTTTGCTCCTTTTAGGCTTTTTTCAAGAGCAAATAACTCAAAATCAAGTAATTTGTTATTCGTTATGCAAAGTTAAAACAGTTCAATCTAATACTAGTACACATTTTTCTTTGATCCAAACTACGGTTTAACTGTTCACTTATATTTTACATTTTTCGTTTTTAAGGTGTCATTCGGTATTATTCGGAACACTTCGGCGATATTTCATTCATACACTCAAACCCCGCCGGCGGAGTTGCATTTATTTTCATTTCCTTTTAAATATACAGTACACGTTTTCATAGTCTATTGTCGGGCAAGCCGGAAGCGCGGAGCCTTTTGACTTCCCCGTATTACATGGAGCAAGTTGAATAGATGGTAAATAATACGAAATCTTTTCTTCTAGATAGAGAGTATTTTCTCAAGTTTGTCACCACTGGTTACTCAGTGTCGGGGAAAATTTATCCCCAGTTTAACTCATTGTTCTTAAACCTCGACTTTAGCGTTGGACCGATACCACCTGATTTTGGCACGGACTTCCTAAATTTACAAGGCACTGACTGGTCTGTCAGACCACTTGAATTTTCTGGATGGTGAAAGTCTCATAAAATTTGTTAGAATAATTTGTGAGTGTGATGTTGTAAAAAAAAATCATGTCATATACTTGGTTGTTTAAAATCATTTGTCCAATGTACATAGTCTATATGTTCATAGGACAGTGCGAACCGTACCAGGGCAGACAGTATGTTTGGTCAGGGCGGACCATATTTTGGGATAGGGCGGTCTGCAGGGCACTAGACACCTTTTGGGGACAGGTACCCATACTGGTTGGGGACCACCAAAACCGGACAACCACCAAACCCGGACGGCCCCGAAAATGCTTGATTTAGAATTTTCTTTGTTCAGTGGTTGTCAGTCACTTTTTTATCAACAATAAATGCATGTTTCTTCTATAATTAGGTAAATAAATTTATTTCAACTTCCGTAAATGGTAATATTTTAATGTCTATTTCAAGAATGTTGACGTTGAAATTTGGGGGTCAAGAAAGCAATGCCTGACCTCATATAACAGCAATAATTATTTGCAAAGTAAACAATAGAATATCCAAAACTTCAGCATTTGCTGCTGAAATATTGTGTGTCATGTTAAAAATAAAAAAAGAACACCAAAGCTTTTATCTGAATTAAATCAACATTATTACATATCTGTCCGGACACATGGTACTGTAGTATGTACAATTTAGGTAATTTTGATACCCTCCTTGACGGGCCTCGGATATAAGTGTCAATATAATCAGAACTAAACAAACTAGTTTGTTAGTTAGGAGAAGAACCTAGCTGTACTGTGTCAAATTTTCGTACCTTTAGCTTTAAAATTATGAAATTTGTATAGAAAAATGTTCAAAAAGTGTCCGGTTGATGGTCCCTGACCAGTACCCTAAGGAAGGGAAATTTTGCATCGTTTTAAGGCAAAATTCGAAATTTTATGTTTCATGTATTTAGTGTATTTTTTATCACATTTACTCATAACACTTATGATTTCCTACCATTGGTTTTAATAGTTTGTAATTTTCCTACCATTGAAATCAATAGGTAGTATAAGACTAACAAATCAAACAAATTATTTTAAGTTGATTTATTTTAGAATTTGGAGGGGATTTTTTTCTGAGATAGGAGAAAAATACATATGATTTTAAGAGGGGAACGGTACCCATATTCGGCCCCAAAAACGACCAAACGAGTGCCCTGGTCTGTGACTCGAGACAAGGCGGACCAAGCTTAATTTCAAATTTAATATTGCTATTGCATTTATTCTTTTATCTTTTGATATAATCGTTATCCTATTAAAACATGCCATGTATTTAAGCATTTTCACATTTAACAGATTATTATTTCCTTAAGTTTTGATTTAGCCATGCAATTACAATATTTAAGTTTAAAATAGGTAGCGTAAGATAGTGGGAATGTATTTAAAAAATCGCATATATGTAAAACATATTTTCCTTTTGCATTGATATTAAAAAAACTTGACATAATTACCTTAACCTTTTCCCTTATATAAGTGTGTTTCGACAGCTTTTTGACTTTCCCCCCCCTTTTTGAGGTCTCAAACAGTGAAAAAAATGCCCTATTTAGGCCCCAAACACTGTTCGCCCC